CCTCCTGAGTGCCTAGTAAAAGGGTTTGCCACCGCCTTGGCTTTTTTTTTTTTTTTAAGTGAAAATTTGTAAATGACAACCTCAGGTTGCCGTCAAAATACTGAACCGTTAGGAGCTAAAGAGATGGCTTAGTAGTTAGGAGCACTGGCTACTCTTCTATAGAGGAACCCCATTTAGTTCCTAGCACAACTGAAACTCCAGTTCCAAAGGTCCCAGTGCCCTCTTCTGGACTTGTGGTACACACACATACATGTAGGCAAGACATCTATACATGTCTTTAAAAAAGTAAAGATTGATCATGAGCCTGGAAGTGCTGGCACATGCTTTTAATACCGGAACTAGGAAGGCAGGCAGAATCAGTCGGATCTCTGTGAATTTGAGGCTAGCCTGGTCTACACAAAGAGTTCCAGAGGACCTGGGTTTGGTTCCAAGCATCCACATCAGGTGCTGCATGACCTCCTGTAACTCCAGGTCCCTGACTGACACTCTCTGCAGCTTTTGCAGGAACACAGACACAGACTTGTAGTGACAATTCTGGAATTTTGATTTCTTTTAAAATGAAACCTGAAAGATAAGGGAAAAACAAGAACCCACGAAGTAGCAAACACCAGCTACAAGCAGAAGAAACAAGAAATTAGATTCAAGGATCTCTCTCTCTTTTTCCCTCTCTCTTTTCCTCCTCCCCTTCCTCTATCCTTCTTCTCTCCTATCTAGTGATAGGGGTGAAACCATAGTGAGTTTTTTGTGCCAAATATAAGAAGTGGGTTGATAAGATGTAAGCCTTAAAAAGACTAATAAATGAAAATCAGAAAAATACTCCGACACAGAGCAATTTAGACAAGAACCTACTGTACCACTGCACGATGCAACTGAAGAGGTTGTTAGAAAACAAACCTTAGTTTATCCAGTTACTACACAAGACCTAACAGGAGATGACGGGCACCCCCAAGGTTATGAAGAAATTAAATGGAGTCCTATAGAAATATTAGATTTGAGGAGACTTAAAGAAGCGGGCATTTCGTATGATATGCATCGATCTATGTGAAGCAGGTATAAAATTCACGGGCAGCTGCGGGGCTCCGCGGTCCATCCCTCCAGGGAAAGTGGCATGGGACTATTGAGATGGAGCATGTTCACACCTTGAAAATCTCACACTTGAGACTTGAAATCTCAGCCTGAGAATGGAAGGTGTGGGACAAAGCTCTCTCCTGTTTCTGTGCCTGCCTCAGGAACATGTGGCTAAAGGTGGTCTTTCACCTGAGCTCCTCACCTGTTAACGTTCTCCATATAAATAGAGCATTGCCAGGCTCCTAAGCCCCAGCCAACGAGACACATCCTCAAAGCCCGTCCCCACTGCTCAAGGTTTATAAGTCCCTATTTCACATGAAATAAAGCAGCAGCAATCACCATCTGCTTCACCGAAGATGTCTGAACTTCCGGACTGGACTGCCAGGCAGAACCCCTGCAGTTAGCCACTAGAGCTCGCCCAGCCAAGCTTCTGCTGTTCATCTCCCGGCCACAGTGTGGATCTGCAGGATCCGGCTCTCCGCCGTTCCCACAGCAGCTGTCTGATTAGTCCAGTCAGGCCTCTGTCACCACCTGACTCAGTCTCTCAGAGCCTCAGCTCCCACTGATGCCAATAGCCTGAGTCAAGGCGGGCCCTCGTTGTCACAGAGCCCCGAGCTCTGGTGCCGGAAGCTGTCACAGAGCCCTGAGCTCTGGTGCCGGAAGCTCAGTCAAAAGAGCAGTAACACCTACTGTGGAGGAAAAATCTCCTTCTCCCGCACCCATTTCTGGACCAGAAATCTTGTAACATGGATCTCCTTTTATGTTTTATCCTTTTCCACCCAGAGACCAACAGTGCTTGGACCTTCCCATGGAGAAGCATCCAGATCAGTGCCTGCCCGGCCTTCCCAGGAACCATGAACCACAGGCAACTCAGAACAGAATTATCCCTCAAGCCTGGAAAGAGTTGGCAACAGCAATATTGGAAGCTGGTCTTCAGTTACAGTGGCAAACATGTCGGAGAGAGGAAGCAGGGGCCATAGAACAACATAAGGCTAGAAGTACTGATATTTCACAGAATCAGTTGCTAGGAGAAGGTCAATATACTGACTTACAAAGGCAGCTTGAATTTGATGATCACACCTTGGCGCTATGTCATTTAGCAGCTTTAAATGCTTAGGACACAGTTGAAGAATAAGGAAAGAGGCCTGGTTTATTTACTAAAACTATACAGGGCCCGAAAGAAGTTTTCACTGATTTTTTTGCAAACATTGACTTCAGCAGTAAATAGAATAGTATCAGATTCAGAAGTCAAACAAATATTAATTGAAGTTTTGGCTTTTGAACTTTATCTCTGGTGTTGTATGGTGGTGATTAATATTTACTATTGGTTTATTGGGCGCCATTTGTTGTAAACTACTATTAAAATTTACTATTAATATATCTTCTGGTAAAGCTGCTGTTAGTCCTAAACAGCTGTATAACCAAATCACCACACAGAGACAGGGTTTATTTAGTTAACCTAGAACACAATGCTGGGCCATAGTTACTCCATCCTAAACCTCCAAACCCTCATAGTTTCCTAACATTTAGATTTCACCCATTATACTTGCTTTTAGTGATATATTAGGTCCAGTCCATCTCTCCACATCGGTCCAAGATCTGTCCTCCAGCTCTCTCTCCTAGCTCTCTTCTCCCTTTCTCCTCCCACTCATTTCCTGCCCTCTGGCTCCTCCCCTCTTTCCTGTCCTCTGGTTCCTCCCAGCTCAACATTGTGTCTAGTTGCTTTATTTTGGCCTGTTTACACAACAGTTGAGATGCTTAGCATCTCAGGATCTAAGCATCTAAGGATGCTTAGAATGAGTATCACAATGCAGTATCTGGATTGAAACCAGAGAGTTGGCGGGGGGGGGGGTAGAAATCAGCATTTGAATGAACAAGGATAAGGTGTATACATTTTAAAAGAACATTATACCAACACTCTGGTAAAACAAAGCATGGGACGGGTGGAGTGTATAAGGCCAGAAGGACAGATAGGAAAATTAAAGCCATATGTGGCTAATATAGCCATGAATTTATGGGGACATGATTTGTTGCAGCAATGGAAAATACAGATTATCATTCCTCCAATCTCAGAAGCAAACCATAAAATAAAGAATGCTTCTGAGAAAAATAATAAAAGGTATCATCAAGAACAGTTACAGAACATTCAGGTTGTCCATAGGCAGAACACAATGGTTGTTGATCATTCTAGGTTTGTTTGTTTGTTTGTTTTGAGATAGGGTTTCTCTGTGTAGCCTTGGCTGTCCTGGACTCACTTTGTAGACTAGGCTGGCCTTGAACTCCCAGAGATCCTCCTGCTTCTGCCTCCCTGAGTGCTGGGATTACAGGCGTGTGCCACCATGGCCAGCTTTGTTGGTCTTTTAAAGGTACCAACCATCATACCTTTAAAATGGTTATGTAGGCATAAAAAGATAAACATATAAAATGATAATATTTGTGAATTACAATTTATTAAAGGCACTCTTATGTTACTGGCAAGAAATGAAAAATGATTTTTCTTAACCTGGGAGATGGTTGTACACACCTTTAATAACAGCACTTGTTTTCTAAATTCTAGAGCTTTAAATTTAGAAATATTTAGAATTTAGTGTTTAGAATTTAGAAGTATTTAGAATATAGAAATTAGTTGTTGTCATCCAGGCATGGTGGTATACATCTGTGATCCCAGCACCCCAGGAGGCAGAGGCAGGAAAGATTGAGGCCAGCCTGGTCCACAAAGTGAGTTCAGGGCAGCCAGGGCTATTGCACAGAGAAACCCTGTCTCAAAAAGCCAAAAATTAAAAATTAAAAAAAGAAGAAGAAAGAAAGGTCCTGTTTTTTCTCCTGTTGAAAAAAAGGCAAAACCTCTTCTCCAACACATTTCCTTCAGTTCTGGAGTTAGCACACATACATGTTGATCTAATTCAGCAGTCCTTCCTAAAATTCATTGTTTTTCAGCAGCTGTAGTACCTGTTTCACTGACACTTAAAACATTTAAGTTCAATAAAGAATTACTTAGTATATTTCTAGGAGGTCCCACATCCCTGTTCTGCTCTATGAGCATTTCCCTTAAAGCCCTGTTAGATCTCTCTACAATTGCTTGTCCTGTAGGATTGTAAGCTGTACCAGTGACATGTTTCACGTCATAATGTCTAAAAGATTGTTGTATTCTAACGGGTACATATTTCAAAGCAACATCATCTTCAGTCTGTAAAGGCATTTCCAAGAGTGTCATCATCTCTAATAAATGTGCAATCTCAGAATCATCTTTTTCAAAATTCAAGGCAGAAACAGACTGAAATCTTGAATAAGTATCAATTCTATGATGTATTAGCATGTGTATGTATCTTAATTCTTCAATCTCTACAAAATGGAACACATAATCTATTGTATAATATTGTTCTAAGGCAGCATCATTAAACAGAATCTGTATTTTAAACTCAGCATATTTCATCTCTATGGGCTACCATTCTAATTCCTCAGGCCTTTGTGGATATTCTCACCTGGAACTACCTTTTTTGCTGTCGCTGAAGGTTCCAGATTGGATTTTTCTGAGGGTTCTTTATTCTGATTTAAAAAAATCCTCTGATCTCAGTTTTATTGCCCTAATCTAGCATTTAATTTTTTAGTCTTCTCCTTCTATAAGTCTGCTTTATTCTGATTTCCCTTAAAGAGGATATAAAATGGCAATCATCACTGAAAATATAATAATTTCTATGCTGATAAGTGTAGCAAAATTATACGAGACCCAGATGCCCTCTCTCATTGTATTTTCCATTTATTCCATTGTAGAAAACATTTTCCTTTTATTCTCCCTAACACTCTCCTTTTCTCAGAGACTTTGTTATGCACATTTATATAACATTTTTACTTATTTTTCTTTCTCTTTCCTTTCTTTGGAGACTTTACTTTCTATGTGCACTTATTCGTCTCTCTTTTACCAGATTTTTAAAACAGACATGGAACACTTCTTGAGTTTGCGTGTCACCCTTGCGCAGGGGCCATGCTAATTTTCTCTGTGTCGTTCCAATTTTAGTTTACGTGCTGCCGAAGCGAGCACCTTTTACCACTTTTTAACTTAATATCTTTTTTAGTATTTAATTTTCTCTAAATTGTTGTCCATCTTCGTGTGGCTTGTTTTGTGTGCTTTTGTTGGAGTGCCTTCTGCCATACCAAGTTTTTTTGCTCTTCTACCTTCTGCTTGGGTGCAGGTTTTTCCATGGTTCTCTAGTCCTTACTGCTGGCTGTAGGCCCTGCCCCAGCCCTTCTGTTCACAGTAAAGAGGCAGTTCTGCCACTTGGCTTGGTTTACCAAGCTGACTGTCCTGGGCCCACCTGCCCTGCCCTGTTGGCCTGTGATGGCACCTCTGACCTCTGCCCACTTCGGGAAGGTGGTGTCAGTGGCTGCATTGGCCACAGGAATGCAGCTGGTCCCAAATGTGCTGCTATTCTTGGCCCTAGCTATCTGTAGTTCACAGGCTCTGTACTTTAGGCTGGTGTACTTCTGGATCTACTGTAGCATGTCCTGGGTCCATTTGGCAATGCAGCTCTGGTAAATTTTTTGCCTGAGGGGTGTGCCTAAGGCTCTGGTCCACTCTCTCTTAAAGGGACCACCTCCTGCCAAGTTACATGCCCTAAATTCAGCAACTCTGTCCCAGCTCTGTGACTTTGTCTAATACCTGAATCTTTTGTTCTAAGCTTGGATTACAGGCCTTCCACATTTGACGCCAAAATCACACAGAGAAACCCTGACTCCAAAAACCAAAATCAGTAAACAAATAAAACAAATAAAGTATGACGTATGACTTGTCCAGACACTTCAGTTAGAATTGTGGTCTCATTCTTTGAACATAAAAATATGTTCTTTTTTCTATTGCTGCCCTTGTTCTCAATGATAGCATGGAGAGCTATTATATTTATTAATTGCTTCAGGCACTATTGCAGAGCAGATATTGTGTTATTCTAATCTAATAATGCTGGTAACTCTCTCATGGCAACCCCTCTCTTTGGAAACTCCCCTCTCTCTGCTCTCTACCTGGGTCAGTCTTACTGGAATCAGAAGTCCTGTCTTATCCTCTTCTGTCCAGCTATTGGCTGTTCAGCACTTTATAAACCAATCAGAAATGATGGAGAACAATTTTTATACAACACTGAGACAGGAGGTACTTCATAGAAATGGCAGTGCCGGGCTAGAGAGGTGGCTCTCTGATTAAGAGCACTTGCTGCTGCTGCTGCTCTTCCAAAGGATCTGAGTTCAATTCCCAGCAACCACAGCTCACAATTGTCTGTAACTCCAGTTCCAGGGGATCTGACGCCCTCATGCAAAACACCAGTGCACATAAAATTAAATAAATAAATCATTAAAACAAGAAAGAAAGAAAAGACAATGCCAACTTCCTGACTGTAGCCAGATCTCTGGGCACAGGAATCAGCATCTGAATACACAGTGCTCAAAACACCCTCCAACAATCAGCCAATGGAATCTCTTTTATAATCTCTGGCTGAGGAACATGTGACTACCTGTGGTGCCTATCAGCATGCTGGCCTCCAGGCTCCCTTAGTATAGTATCATAAGTACCCGTTACATATTTCAAAGTCCATGCTAACATCCTACCCCTTCCTACCTCCTCAGCTACCCTAAACCTCCTCCAGCTAAGGGGCTTCCCTCCCCCCAGCTACTCATCCTTCTTATAACCCTGCTATGCTCTCTTTTATCTATCTTCGGCAATTTTCCCTTCTCTCACAGATAACCTTGGTCATGTTCAGTCTATTTCTCTTCCTGCTCTGCACTCTTCTGGATACTTCTGTATATATTTTTTTCTCTTTTATTTATAATTTTAAAAAACCTTTCGCTTAGCTACACCATGGAACAGTCGTGTTGGCAGTTTCTTTACTGTACCATTCCCCACATACAGTTTAGGTCGTTTGTCAAAAATAAGTTTGGGTGTGTTGTGCCCGATTCTTGAGAGCCCAAAAGATCACCGGAGTCAAATTCGTTGCAAAACACATGAGGCTCTTTTTATTATAAGCTATAGCTTGGGCTCACACCCTAACCACCATAGCGGTTGAGAGCCAAGAGCCTCATGCTCAGGTTAAGTGGTTGATTAAATATTCTAGTCCCTCCCAGAGTGCCCAAAGCAGGAGAATTCCTACCTGCAAGTGTCTATTGGTTGAAACACAAGAGGTGATGTTGTATTTTGAACTGATTGGCTATAGGAAGGCTCCCAAACTATTAAAGGTCTGGCTTCCTTTGTTTGACTGTCCTAGGGAAGAGGGCCTATCTGGGCAGGTTTCCTAGCAACTGTGTCTCTAGTGGGCAGGAAAGAATGCAGTAAGGCTGGTTCCTTCCCACAGGTGGCTGGACATGTCTCCACCTGTCTGACCTTTATTTAGGCTTGTGCTTTAAACTTTAATTCAATAACTCAAAAAACTAATTTTTAATTCTTTGGTCTCTCAGGTATTCAAAATCAGAGACCACAATTCTAACTGAAGTCTCTGGACAAGTCATACCTTACTTGTTTTATTTTAATTTTTTTGTTGTTGTTGTTGTTTTTGGTGTCAGGGTTTCTCTGTGTAGCCTTGGCTATCCTTATCTTGAACCCACAGAGATCTGCCTGCCTCTGCCTCCCCGAGTTCACATTTTACTCTAGATTAATCTAAGAGAATGAACTTGAAAGAGTAAGCACGTAGAAGCAGGAGATACAAGCAGTTTTTATCCTAACTCAGGTGATGGCTCTTTCCCCCATTAGCTGAGCCTTTATGGACTTCCTGAGTGCCAGGCATGCACAGGTTGCACATACGCACACCCAGGCAGAATGCTCATTCACATAAAGAATGAAGTAAAATTTTGAAAGTCTTATTTATTTATTTTATGTATGTGAGTGCTCTATCTGCATGTACACCTGCTTGCCCGAATCGGGCATCAGATGGTTGTGAGCCACCATGTGATGGACTGGGAGTTTGACTCAGGACCTCTGGAAGAACAGACAGTGCTCTTAACCACTGAGCCATCTCTCCAGCCCAAAAAAAGTAATTTTTAAAAATATTAAATTGTTGTGCTGTAAAAAAACAATCAAACCAGACAGTGGTGACAACATAGCTTTAATTCCAGCACTTGGGAGGTGAGGAAGGTGGATCTCAGAGTTCAAGGCCAGCCTAATCTACAAACTGGGTTCCAGTACATGGAGAAACCCTGTCCTCAAATATTAAAAAATAAAACAACAGCAACAAAGAAAACCCTCAATCACTGAGCAGGGTTTGGTGACATACTTTTAATCCCACCTCCACTTGGGAGGCAGAAGCAGGTTATCTCTATGAGTTCTAGAAGTAAAGGAGGTGTAGGAGAGACTGTAACTAGAAATCTTATCTAGTCTGTCATCCCCCAACATCTAGAACAGTACAGGGCACAAAGAAGGGGCACAATAAACATATACTGAGTGTGAGAGTGCTACAAAGGGGGGCTGGAGAGATGGCTCAGTGGTTAAGAGCACTGGCTTTTCCAGAGGTCCTGAGTTCAATTCCCAGCAAACACATCTGTAATGTGATCTGATGCCCTCTTCTGGCCTGCAAGTATAAATGCAAATAGAGCACTTGTGTACATAAATCTTTTTAATTTTTTCTTTTTCGAGACAGGGTTTCTCTGCGTAGCCTTGGCTGTCCTGTGCTGGGATTAAAGGCATCTTTAAAAAAAAAAATACTACAAAAGGGATTTAGAAGAACAGAATTTCTCTGTACATGTGATATGTATGAATACATGCTCACGTGTGTGTGTGTGTGTGTGTGTGTGTGTGTGTGTGTGCATGTGGGGCTAAAGGTCAGTAATAGTTATCTTTTTCTACAACTCTCCATATTATTTATTTTTCTTTCTCTTTCTGAGACAGGCCTCCCAATGCAGTCCTGATTGGCTTGGAAGCTACAAAAATCTGCCTCTGCTTCCCTATTGAGAAAAGGGCTTGTGTCACCACACTTGTACACACACACACACACACACACACACACACACACACACATACACACACACACAGTGGTGCACATGTAGAAGTCAGAGGACAACTTTCACCTGTCAGTTGTCTCCTATTATGTGGGTGCACTGATTTGGGGTGGTCAGGCTGCCTGACCTTTCCCTGCAGTGGTGTCTGTGGCCCTGTCCGGAGGTCTCTATAAAATGATCACATAAGGCAGTGACCAGCCAGCTAGGAAATCTAAGACTGCAAGGAAAGGCTGTGTTAGCTACTGCAGCCTTAAAACAAAGTCGGAGAAGTTTTGAACTTTAAAATTGTGCCTCTGAAGTTTATTTCATTTTAGTTTACTTAAATAAACAGAGGGTTTTCACATGGGGGGGTGCATTAAAAAAAGAGAGAGAATGGAGGACACACAGGAAAGGGTGTATAGGACTCTAGGTAACTCCTTCCTCTGGGGTGGCAGTCGCCACAAAGGGGAAGGTGGGGCTTGTTTCAGAACTACAGAATCCACAAGGCACTGGGCGGGACATCAGTTTCCGGCCAGATCCGCTTCCGGTCTTCTGGATGCTGACATTGTCTTCCGGTTGTCTGTGGCCCAGAGAGGGGTTTACGGTACTCACGGTGAGTTGTGCAGCGGCCCCAGCCCTGGGGGTCCGCCGCGACCCGGCCTGACCGGAAGTGCAGTGCGCACTGCTGCGGCTTCCGCTGTTCCCGGCCCCGCGGCTGCCGACGTGGCTCTGGGGCAGGAGTGTGACGCCGCGCAGCGTGCCTGCATGGCGGTCTTTTCCATACGTGGGTCGATTGTTCACATTTCTCTTTTTTTCCAAAGATGAGGTCGCTGGCGTTTGTGGTGTTGGCTCTGTTAGCTGTCAGTCAAGCAGAAGAAGGAGCCAGGCTTTTGGCCTCCAAATCATTGCTGAACAGATACGCCGTGGAAGGGCGGGACCTGACCCTGCAGTATAACATCTACAATGTTGGCTCCAGGTAACGGCTTGGGGTTAGCATGCCCCTTTCTGGATTCTGAGCTTCCATGTGAGAGAACGTTTGATTGGGGAGTGGGTTCTCTTATGGAGCCCTTCAGCATCGGGTGTCGTGAGTGAATGAATTAATGAATATGCTAGAGGACTTATTTTGGCAGGATGCTTTTTGAAACCTAAGGCATCCCTAGGTGAACTACAAGAAACCGTCTTCCACTTTGGGGCCCTGGAACAAAATGAACTTGTGAAAAAAGGAATGCATACAGATTGTACATCCAATCCTTTTACCTGGGGTGGAGACGCCCAGCTTCCTTCTCTCACCCATGAACACTTTTTGTTTGTTCGTTTTTCAAGACAGGGTTTCTTTCTGTAGCCCTGGCTATCCCAGAACTCCCACTGTAAACCAGATGGGCATCAAACTCACAGAGGTCTGCCTGCCTCTGCTTCCCTAGTGCTGGGATTACAAGTGTGTGCCACCACCACCACCCGGCTCCCATGAGCTCTTTTATTGCTGTTTTTTCTTTTTTTTTTTTTTCCATCTTCATCTTACTTCCCCTATACAGAAATTAGAGCAGGAATAGCTTTGGGCACATTCACTTCTGGAAATTTGAATATTCTGGTGTTTCTGAGCAACGAAATCCAGGCCTTTGTCTAGATTCTTCAAAGCAGACCCAAGTTACTGTTGGGATTTCTTTTGACCAGCAGGTAGATTTTCTGGTTAGCTGCCTTAATTTTATGTCGCTTACTCTTTTTGTTTTTTCTGCTTTCTAGTGCTGCATTAGATGTGGAATTATCTGATGACTCCTTCCCTCCTGAAGACTTTGGCATTGTCTCTGGTATGCTCAATGTCAAATGGGACCGGATTGCCCCGTATCCACTTTTTTATAGGTGATGAGGGCTGGGAGAGGGTCATTGCCGGAAAAGCAGCAGGAGTACTTCAAATAGTCTGGGTGTGGGGCTTATTTCTTGTCATATATCTGGAGAAGATCAGGAAGAAGGATAGTTGTCAGCTGTAGACCCTGAATTCCTTTAAGGAGACACAGACATAAAGATTCGGTTGCTACATATGAATATTGAAGGTGCTTTTCTCTTTTGCGTGCTGGAGATAGATCCAGGCATTCACATAGACTGGGTAAATGCTCTCTTCCTGAGGTGCTTTCAGAACAGTTCGGTGGGATGTTAGCATGGAGAATCTGGGTAACCTCTTAGCCTCCCCTCATACCCTGCGCATGTCTGCTTTCTGATTTGACAATTATTTTGGGGTTTTGAGACATGGTTTCTCTGTGTAGCCCTGGCTTTCCTGGAACCCACGCTGTAACCCGGAGCTTCAAATGCACAGATCTGCCTTATCTGCCTCCCAAATTGGATTACATGTTTAGTGGTCCCCTCCCTGATTTGTGTATTAAAGTATAGTTAGTTTTTCTGTGCCTGCATCTGGAGACAAGAAGATTTCAGATGCCTGGGAGCTATGATTACAGGTTATATCTTATGTGGATGCTCAGAACCAAACTACAGTCTTTGAACTTAATCTCTGAGCTGTCATCTCTTTAACTACGGCTATGAGTTTAGATTTTTTTTTTTTAAAGATTTATTTATTTTGTGCATGAGTGCTCTGACTGCATGTACACCTGCATGCCAGAAGAGGGCATCAGATCCCAGTATAGATGGTTATGAGCCACCATGTGGTTGCTGGAAATTGAACTCAGGACCTCTGGGGGAGCAGCCAGTGTTCTTAAACCTCTGAACCATCTCTCCAGCCCAGTGCTTAACTATTTCTGATGACAGTAAATACTCTCTTTGTATTTTTTGTTTGCTCCTTTTGTTTTTATCCTGTCTACTGTATTTTTAAGAGCTGCTGTCATGGAGTGGGGTGATGCCTGTGGGTAAGACCACTCATACTTTTACAGAAGACACTAGTTTGGTTCCAGCACTCATGTCAGGCAGCTCACAGCCATCTGTGACAAATATAAATTAAAAAAAAGTCTTGCCAGGTCCGATGATGCACATCTGTAACCTAGTACTTCAGAGGCAGAGGCAGCCTGGTCTACGTAGTAAGTTCCAGGCCAGCCAGGCTGCAGTGAGACCCTGTCTTAAAAAAAAATAAAGTAATAGTCAGTGAATGACTTTCTGTGACCCTAAGTTACTATGTATTTTTTTAGGTTTACATTTAAAAATATTGATAATGAATATTTTATAGACCCCTTAGAATTTTATCACATTAGTCGGGTGTGGTAGCTTATGCCTGTACACCCAGAGTTGGGAAGAAACCACAAAATCAAAGCTAGCCTCAGCTAGAGTGAAAGGCTGGCCTCAAACTCACGAGAGAGCCACCTATCTCTGCTTCCCAAGTGCTGGGATTAAAGGCCTTCACCATCTTTTTTTCTTCCTTAACCCTTGGGCTAGTGCTAGCAATGTCTCCCACACAGTGGTCCTGCGCCCTCTCAAAGCTGGTTACTTCAACTTCACCTCAGCGACTATTACCTACCTGGCCCAAGAGGACGGGCCTGCTGTGGTACGTTGTCCAAACCTTGAGCTGCTTGGGCCCCAGTATCCTTAAGAACTCTCCAGTTTCTTCTCAAAATGTGTGAACGATCTGTGTGTTTGAGTGTGAGCATGCATGTACACTGGGTGCCCATCGAGGCCAGAAAGCATCTGATCCCTTGGCTGTTGCCTCCCGTTAAAAACTCTTGCAGACACTTTTCCACGGCAGCTCCTGAGGCGGGTTGACTGTGTACCTGGTATGGTCCTAAGGAAGTCTGGCTTCAATTGTAAAGTTCCAAAACAAGGTAGCTGCAGGAAATGAGAGACTACAGCATCTCCTCCCTTCTGTCCCTCTGCTTTCCCTTTACTCTGCAAAGTTTCATTTGCTCTTCACTTTATAGCTGTCCCTGCCATTTCCAGGCTCCACTGCTGTTCTCGTCCCTCACCTAGAAGGCTCTGTTTACCACCTGAAGGCCACGCTTTTCCGTCTGCTGCTACACACCCTCCAGGAGACTTTGTGTCTCTTCAACTTTCTTTCATTTTATTTTGTTTTTTGATACATCTCATGTGTGGTCCTGACTGGGACTCACTGTGTAGACCAGGCTGGCCTCCAACTCACAGGAGAGCCACCTTCCTCTGCTCCTAAATGCTGGGATTGAAGGTGTACACCACCCAGGATTCTGGTTTTTATCTGCTACTTTTTTTGTTTTGTTTTGCTTTTGAGACAGGGTTTCGAGTCGCTTTGTAGACCAGGCTGTCCTCTAACTCACATCGATCTGCCTGCCTCTGACTCCCTGATTGCTGGGATTACAGTGTGGACCACTGCACCATCCTGGGTGGCCTAGAGCTCACTCTGTCAACTTAGCTGGCTGGGTATTTGTGATAATCCCTCTGCCTGTGTCTTACTTACCAGTGCTGAGGTTACAGATGTAACTCACCATCACTGCACTCGGCTTTATTTTTAAGTAGTTAATTGACTGATTTTTTTTTTTTTTTTTTTTTAATTTACCTACTTTTAAGACAGATTTTCCTATAGCCCACGCTGACCTTTAAACTCAATATGTGTAGGAGGCTGGCCTTGAACTCCCGTTTTCCTCCCTCAGTCACCCAAGTGCTGGCATTACATGTGTGAGCTGCAGTGCCCAGTACTGTCTGGTATTTGGTGGGTTAATAGACACAAAAATCAAAGGCTTACCTGCTACCTGAGAACAGTTTTTGCAGTGACCGCCAAACTCTTGGCCCCTCTTCAAAGCAGTGGAATGTGGAGTAGCCCCAGTCCTCTGGTAATGTACATTTGGGTAGGGCTGTAACGTTTTCAGGAGGATGCTTACTGCTTTATCTTGGCCTCGGTCAGCCTCCTGAAGTAGAAAAGGGCGTTTTCTCCTGAGGAATAAGTCACTGATTGCTGAGGACTGATAACTCCAGTATACACCTTGTCTTAGAGACAGGAAGGGGCCTAAGTCTGGTGGATGAAACTTTGTTTTTGCTTGTGTAGCTAGTCTGACCTGTTTAACAGACACTGACAGTGTGGTGATCCCCAGTATGCGTGATTTAAGCTTTCCTGTCTCCTAATCTACTTTTCTTTACAAAGAGTAGCATTTACAAAATGCTAAATCTGTCTGATTATATATATATATATATATAAATATATATATTGAGTTTCTCTGTGTACCCTTGGCTGTCCTGGAACTCGCCCTGTAGACCAGGCTGGCTTCAAACTCTTCTTTCTTGTCTTTTCTTTACTGATGGATCAAAGATCAAAGCATCTTGCATGTTCTACAAGAACTCTGCCTCTTGACCTATAGCTGTGTGTTCTTTACACACTTTTGCCTGTGTGTGTTGGTAACTAAGTCTAATGCTAGAACTGTGTTGGCCTGAATAACCTGTTCTCAGATGAGGTGCTTTGAGGCTTTCCTTAACACCTTCTTTTTTCTCCTCCAGATTGGCTCCACCAGTGCCCCAGGGCAGGGGGGCATCCTTGCCCAGCGGGAGTTTGACCGGAGATTCTCACCCCATTTTGTAAGTTCTTTTAGTATCGTCTCTCCTTGTGTCCTGCTTTGAGAACATTCTTTTGATTCTGGAATCGCCTTAGAAAACTGATTGATTTGTTCTGCAGTTTGTTGTTTTTATGTGAGAGAAACTGACAGAGACACAGTTTTAGATATATTCCTGATGTAATCATGCCCAGATTTTTTTTCAGTGAGCTCACAATAGCCAGCACCATAGACCTGGCCTTTCCCTCTGATCAGCCTGAAGTAGAAGCCTGACTTAAGAGTTGTGTGTCACTTGGAGGCCTCGATAGGTTCAGCGGGCCACAGTGTTGGGATAGTTGAGTGTCTTATGCCATCATGCCCAGCTGGAGCTTGGAGAGAATTTTTCAGAGCTGACTAAACACCGAAGGAGGGAATTCTTAAGACATAGTCTCTCCCATTAAAAGATTACCTGGGGACTGAGGATATTGCTCCGTTGGTAGTTTGCCCAGCATGCTCAAGGCCCTGGGTTCTATTCCAGCACTGCATGAAACCAGGCCTGGTGGTACTCCTGAACAAAGGCAGGAAGTTGAAGGTCATCATCAACCATTTAGCCAGTTTGAGGCCGGCCTGGGCTATGTGAGAGATACATGAGCAACAGCAAAAGTCCCCGTGATGTCATAGGCTCAGTGAGGAGGCGTGGGGAAGTGCTGCGCTCAGAGTTTACATGGAGGAGCTGGAGGCACCACCTGTCTCATCTAGAGTCCAGAGAGGGTTTAAGCAGTCAAAGCAGCAAGGAGGGGCGGACTGAGAGCAGCTCAGATGTGACTGAAGGTGTAGTGTGATCCAGGAATGGCAAGTGCTTAACAAGCTAGAGTTTGCAGGAAATAGTCCAAGGTGACAGGAGGCTGCACAGCTTGAAAAGTAGACTGGTCTTTAGAGAAACATTGTGTCTGAGGACAGAGGCTGGCAAAGTCCTGCTTACAGTCTGGGTCCTGCTACTCCCTTCTCATTGTATCACGCTCTCCTTTCCTGTTCTGTCCTACATCTGCACCCAGACTCCTAAGCAAACCCTTGTTTTCCTCCACAGCTGGACTGGGCGGCCTTTGGGGTCATGACCTTGCCCTCCATAGGCATCCCTCTGCTCCTGTGGTATTCCAGCAAGAGGAAGTATGATACTCCCAAACCCAAGAAGAACTGAATGCAGTTTCCTCGGCCCTTCTCTCTCAAAAAAACCAGGTGTTTTCCAGACTCCTTAGGGTATCAAATATGCTCTCTTGGCCCTTGGCTCGTGGCCACTTTGTCCTGGATCCTACCCTGAACTCAACCAGATTCAAGGGGCAGCCCTGGAAGTTTGTGAGAGCCTCCTGTTCTCACTGAAGCCATAAAACAGGACTGCTGTTAGCCACAGCTTTGGGCTTGAGGGTCCCACCAAGGTGCTGTTGGTGTATTACTGCTAATGTGAACTCTTGGGGGTCCAGGAGGGGCCCTTTGGATACTGTATGACACCCCCAACCCCTGGCAGCTCCTCTCAAGAGGGTGGAAGATTAAATGAAAGCTATGGGGGCTACATGGACTCTGCCTGGAGTAGGGGCACTTACCAAATGGGTTTTCTAATAAAAACAAATGCCATACCCATCTGTTTGTCTTGTTGTGCACCAGCAGGTGATTTCTGGGGCCCAGGTCTTGAAACTCCAGCTCCAGGGCAAGCCAGCAGACTTCTTGGTCCCAAGGTGTGCTCTATTCTCAGAGATGTGCCTATTTCCTTTGAACCCTTGTGGTCATCTTTTTTTCTCTTTTCAATCCATCATTACACAGTCCTCCTTAAGCCTTCCTCGCTGGCTCTCCTTGATGTCTCCACCATGCCTTGAGGGTCCTGATCTATAAAGAACTGCTTTCTTTCTGAAGAACGGCTCTTAGGCCTATTTCTATCCTACTGTCTTAAGTTCTCAAGCTGTGGGGCCAAGGGTCACATTTCATATCCTGCACATCAAATATTTACATTACATTTCATAACAGTGGTAAAATTACACTATGAAGTAGCAATGAAAATAGCTTTATGCTTGGGGCCACCACAACATGAAGGGTTAGCACCAGGAAGGTTGAGAACCGCTGGTCTAGGCGGTGGTTCCAGGGACAGAAGAGGTGGTTCAGTGGCCAGGAGCACTTGCTGCTCTGTTGACCTTGGGTTCCTGTTCCAGCATCCACACGGTGGCTCATAACCTCTAGTTCTAGTTCCGAGGGATTCAGTGCTCTCTTCTGGATGCTGCTGGCACCAGGTGTTCACAGACATAAATGTAGAAAAACAAATTTTTTGTTTTAACTTTTTAAAGATTATGCCTGAATGTCTGCCTGCACACCAGAAGAGGGCACCAGGTCTCTGGGGATTAGATGATTGTGAGCCACCATGTCATTGCTGGGAATTGAACTCAGGACTTTTGGAAGTACCCAGTGCTCTTAACTTCTGAGCCATCTCTCCAGCCTGACAGAAAAAAAAAAATTTTTTTTAAGATTTATTTATTTATTATGTATACAATGCCTGCACCCCGGAAAAAGGCATCAGATCTCATTAGAGATGGTTTTGAGCCACCTTGTGGTTGCTGGGAATTGAACTCAGGACCTCAGAGCGGCCAGTGCTTCTAACCTCTGAGCCATCTCTCCAGCCCCTGAAAAAAAAATTTTTTAAGGATTTATTTATTATTTATACAGTACTTTGTCTGCATATGTGCCTACAAGCCACAGTAGGGCACCAGATCTCATAGATGGTTGTGAGCCACCATGTGGTTGCTGGGAATTGAACTCAGGACCTTTGGAAGAACAGCCAGTGTTCTTAACCTCTGAGCTATCTGTCCAGCCCCCCCTGAATTTTTTTTTTTAATTATGTTTTAAAAAACCAAATGGTATCTATTTTGGACTCGAGATATGGGTCAGCAGTTTAAAGTATGTATTGTCCTCGCAGAGGATCCATACACCTGCCTGCATGTCAGGTGGCCTTTAATTCTAGCTCTAGTGGATCCAGCACCCTTTTATGACCTGCAGGCACCCCCACATATATGTATGGAAATGTTACTAAAGGAGATAGCTTCTCTTGAGTTTGAATTTATTTATTGTTTTGAGATGGGGTCTCCTTATTGCATTGCTCTGGTTGTCTTGGAACTCCCTTTGTAGACCAGGCTGGCCTCAGACTCACAGAGATCCACCTGCCTCTGCCTCCTGAGTGCTGGGATTACAGGCGTGCGCCACCTTGCCCAGCAATGTTTGTTTTTCAGGCCAGGAAGAAGTGCTGGGCCTCCTAAATTGGGGCCCTCTTGCAGCCAGTGGAAAAAAGCAGCTTTGGCTGCAGCAGCGTTGTGGAGAAGCCACTGTAAACTGACTCTGTCCAGCCCAGGAATGCCGTGGTCTGAGAACAGCCTCCCAAGCAGGAGGGAAACCCAACAAACACCGGCTTTGTTTCTGCTACCAAGTTTCCCCTTTCGATTCCGCTCCTCAGCTCCCCTGCCCAACCACTTTAACCTTTCCTTTACCCAACTGTGGAAGCCTCTTGGTCCCTGGAAGATGAAAAGGACATGGAGGCAACGGGAAGCTCCAAACGGGGTGGCCCTCAGGCAGCTCACATCCCTCCTTCAGGCCCTGCAGCTCGGACACCCCAGCGACAGACAGGTCAGAGAGCAAGGAAGAGGATTGCTCTTGCTCATCACGTGGTGGTGGGGACCGTGAAGAGGTGGGCAGGTAGAGGGGTGTGTCAAGTGAGGAGCCCATTTGATGGGATCTTGCCTGGTACTGCAGCGTCCTTTTCAAGGGAGGGAAGAGCTGTTTCCCATGTGTGCTTTCTGCCGGAGAGAGTTAAGTCATAGGAGGAGGGCTCTCCTGCCCACAGCAGGATGGACTTGGGCAGGTGACAAAAAGCTGTTCACTCTGGGTGGTCTCTTCTGGAAAGCTGGGGAGCTCACTCCTCTTCCCCGCACAGCTCCACCCTGTGAAGTGGCACTAGTGAGGAAGGAGATGAAACGAACCCAGGAACTCACAGATGACAAGCGTGGTGAAGGCAGTGAATGTCATGGGTACTTTGAAAAGAGGCCAGAGTAGATAGTTCATCTCTCAAGAGATCAGCTGCCTTGGAGTCAGGGTGGAACTTGAGCCTCCCTTCAGAAGTGGCTCTGGAGGGCATAAGCACTCCTGAAGTCTGTAGACAGACGTAGCTGAAATAGTTGGCTTCAGCATTGCCCTTGTCACCCTCAGGAAATCTGGTAGGAGGGTGAGTGCCAACAGCACTCTGATGGGCGGTACAATCTCACACACATACCTACATACACACACAACCTCAACAGTGTGAACCCTAACTCCTGTTGTATGCAGATCTGTGAGAGCAGACAGAAGTGAGCAAGAACCTCACTGCCCTGAAGATTGGGTGCCCAAACTGAGGCTCCAACCTGAAAGGAAAGATAGCAACCCTGAGGCCTGCAGGTGCTAGGTCTCTTCGACCAGCCCTGTAGCTCTCCTGTGGCATCCAGGCAGCATCTCGTCCTCGCTCAGCCTGGTACCAGAGGAAGCCAGGTGCCTCCATTTCTGCTCTCTTCACATCTAGGCCTTCAGACCTGAGGAAGATGGAAAGAGTATGGGAGCCTATACTGCAGGCAGAATAGGGCAATTCGGTGGGAGACAGGAAGTTGTCTCCTTGGAGTGCACAAGTGGGTTATGGGGAGCAACACTGAGCACACAGAATACCTGGGTCCCAGCCCCTAGATGGCACTGTGTTAGCCTCTGGCAATCATCATCTTGGAGATTGGATCCTCACCTGCAGCATCACATTGTTTATTTTGGGTTTCCATGGACTCCTCAGTAAGATGGCACAGGCATTTCCCCTGTATTCTCAAGAAGAAGCAAGTCACTGCTCCTTTCTCATATTTGGTCGGGGTGCATAGGGAAGGGTGCATAGTTTCTCTGGCAGCAGCTGCCTTTCCCCTCACCCACAGCAAAGGATGACTGGCCATAAGACAACTAATGTGATTATTTTATTCAGTAGGTCATCAACAAAGTACAGTAGCTTATCCAAAGATCACCAGCAGGTGGCAGTTAGCATTTTATTTTTACTTATTATTTTTAAGACAGGGTCTCAAAACTTGTCTTTGTATAGACAAGGCTAGCCTGAACTCACTAGATAGCCCAGGTTGGCCTTGCCCCCAGAGTGCTGTGTGCCACCACACTGACCCACAACATATTTGTTAAGTGACTTACAAACCCACACTTCCCATTTACTGCCCACTTTACAAACAAGGGATGAAGCTAACTTGTGCCAGGCACTGTAAATAATTAGTTGTCAGAGTCAGCAAATCTCCCAGCAAACCCTTTCCCACAGCAACAGGATCCTTAGAGAGGCATGCTCCCAGTTACCTCAGGAAGTCGAGTGTGTGCCAAGCTGCCCTCTGCTCTGGAATAGGTGAGGGCTGAGTCCACCCACCCTCAGTTGTTAGCAAGGAAAGGGTGGAGGAGATGGTCAGATATCCTGCTGCCTGGTACCCAAAACAAGCCATGCCATGTAGCTGTGTGCTGAGTGGCTGGTCATTCCTTTCCTGTCAGAGCTGGGGCCTCCTCACCTATAGCTGCCTGTGTAATCGTTCCTTCTTGTACTTTCATCGCAAATAAATACAGTCTTTTTCCTCCTCAATACTGTAACCTGCCTCTTAAAGGGACCAAAGAGCAGTTTTTAAGCCAAATGTGAGAGAGAACAGAGGATCCTGCTGATCTCAGGAAAGACTTCGCTGTTAAGTGGGTCTCCAGCTGTGACTTTTGCCCTGCGACAATGTTCCCTTTTCCCCTTCCCAGCTTCCCCCTGTGCCCTGTTAGAGGGAAGATAAAAGTTCCCTAGTTTTCTGGGTCCCACATCCTCTCCCCTCAGGGTGACCCCTGCTGGTTTCCCACACCCCCTTCCACAGGAGCCTGAATCCTGTGGCTGCCCTTTGTTCAGGGAGTGCTTAGGGCAGGGCAGTGGCACCAAAAGGGTTAAAGGCCTGGCCACAGAACTGCCTAGGGTGTTTGAAGTAGGGTGGGGAAGGGAAGGGCTTAAGCAGTTGAAGAGGCAGCTAGCTGGTGAGGACTGGAATGAGTGTCCCCTGGTTCCTATGCAAACTTCTGGACCATGAACAGTTCCTGTAGAGGGACCAAGAGAGAGGCACCCCCACTGAGGTGCTGGGATAGACCCTTAGAGGGGCTGCCTGGAGCAAGACTTGCACCCATATTGAAGTTGCCAGCTAAGGGCAAGAACAGGTTTCCCATCTTGAGGACCTCTCCCAGGTCTGGTGAGTTTCTTCTTCCCTTTCCTGGGTCCTTGTTTGATAAATGTGCATTCTTCAGGGAGCAGAAATGTCCAGGGGCTCCTCACCACCCCGGAAGTGGCAAAGGGACTTACAGGTCTCTCACCAGCATCTCACGTTCAGTTCCCATTCCTGAATAGGGCGCATTGTGTGCGCGTTTGTAAATGTGTATATGTGTTTTTGTGCATGTGTTCATGTGTTTATGCATGCAAGTATGCAAATTGGAAAGTAAGGATTCACAATAGTGGCCAATGATTAATTAACACAGCTTGCGTAGCAAATGTTTTTATATCCTTCTTATGTTTTCTTTTTTAATCTTTAGAATCTTGTAGCGTTTACATACTCGATCCCTGTATTAAATACGAGGTTATAAGGATTTCTATAACTAACCTAGGTCAATGAAGACGTAAGTTGCAGGACTAGGTTTCAAAGTGAAATGAATTTGCCATCTAACTCCGTTGCGCTGTCATCAAGAGCAAAAGCTAGACAAAACCCCACTAGCATTCTTATCCTTATGGCGCTGGGGCCGGATTCTAGCACTGTGTAAGCGATCTGAGACCAGTGCTCTGCCACTGAGCTAAGTCCAGTCTGCCTGGGGGCTATATTTTCCTTTGTTTATCTGTTTCTGTCTTTCTTCTTCCTTCCTTCATTTCTCTCTTTTTTCTTTAGAGACAGGATCTCTCCGTTATGTAACTCTGGCTGTCCTAGAACTCACTATGTAGACCAGACTGACCTCAAACTCAGGGATTCATCTGCCTCTTCCTCAGGAGTGTTGGGATCAAAGGTCTGCACAACACCCCAGACCCTACTGTGTTTCCTGCATATGGACACCAAGGATAGCCACAGATCTGGGAACCTGGAGGTTCAAATGCCCCAGTATTTGTGTCACCAAGTATTTCTTTATCTCAGGGAGTTAGTTATGAGATGTCACTTGTTACTCAAAGCCTTTTAAGGTTATTTTTTTTTGTAGTTATGAAGAGGAATTACCAAGGATTACCAATGACATGACACTTTCCTTAAGTGTGGGGATAGAAGGAACAACCAAAATACATTTTGTTTGAAAAACCCCATAATGAAATCTATTTTTTATAAGCTAATAAAATTGTAAATTCAAATGAATGAATAGAATTAAGAATTTTGCTGGCCATGATGGTGCAAACCTTTAATCCCAGTTCTTCGGGAGACAGAGCAGGTGGATCTCTGTAAGATTGAGGCCAGCCTGGTTTACAAAAGGAGTACAGGACAACACAGAGAAACCATGTCTCAAAAAACAAAACAACACACACATACACACAAAAGAATCTCCTGCACATTTATGATTTAATAAAGGGAAAAAGGGTGGAGGAGCCACAGTTGGGGATAGAGCGCTGTGGTGAAGCTCCTACATAGCGTGGATAAGGCCTGTTCTCGAGCCCAAGAGCCACAGTCAAACACAAGGCCTGAGGCCAGGCCCTTCCGGCGTCCAGACTGTCCTATCAGGAGTTAACCACTCTACCAACTACTTTTAGATTTCCTGGGATCTGCTGCATTAATTTCCTGTGTCACAGTGCCAGAGTCTCTGAACCTCAGGCCTTCTCTTGCCCCCTCCCTTTGGCACAGATACCACAGTGCCTGCTGAGAAACTGACAGGAGGATTGCTGGGCTGCATAGGTCTTTGCTTCCTTATCCTATACCTCCCTGACTTGACTAGGATTCAGGGCTCTGATATAGAAGCACACAGTTACAAGCCCAGGGCTGGGGTGAGGTGAGGACAAAGGCAGAATCCCTGAATTCAATTTGCAAACAAAACAAAGCCGATGATCACCTTTGGAAACAGCAAAATTCTGGGCTGATGTGTGAAGCACAGAGCCGGGGCGGGGGGGGGGGGGGGGGGCAGGGCGATGTCTACCCAATGACTTGGAGGAGTGGATGGTTTGGCCAGACAAGCATCTGCTGGTCTTTCCATCGATACAGATGCAGGCGCACACGTTTTGCATTTTGGAAATTGTACAGGAAAGGCAGAGAAGGAAAGAGCTGCAGAACACCAAGGCAGGCAGCTGTCGAAGAGAGAGCACTCTTGCCATAAGTGGCCCCATGCACAGGGTCAGAAAGGAAGTGCAGCCCTGCGGTCTTTCTGACGCTGAAGCAGATCTGTGCTAACCCCGCTTCTCATTGTTGGACTCAGGGTTGTCTTAGGTCTTCTGTTGCTGTGATAAACACCTCAGCTATGAGCAACCTGGGGGAGAAAGGGTTCATTTTTTTCTTACAGTTTACAGTAAGTACATAATGTAGAAAGGTCAGGGCAGGAACTTGGATGCAGGAACTGAAGCAGAGGCCATGAAAGAACTCTGCTCCCTGTGCCTTGCTCCTTCTGCTTTCTTTCTTTCCAGATAGTGGGCTGGACCCACAGACCAATCAATCTTGTAGAGATGTTTTCTCAGTTTCTCTTCTCAGATGACTCTGGCTTATCAAGTTGACAAAAACTAGCCAGCGCAATGGTGTGTGTGTGTGTGTGTGTGTGTGTGTGTTAAGGGGGGTGCAGGTGCCTTGGCACATTTGTGGAGATCAGAGGCCAGCATTTGGAAGTTCTCTCCTTCTTCCATGTGGGTCCCAGGTTAAAGTTAGATCCTCAGGCCTGATGGCAAGCCAGAGATTAAATTTGACCCACTAAAACTTTTCCTATGACCCTGACCAGAAGAAGTATGTGGCCTTGGCTGGCCTGCAGCTTTCTGCGTAGATCAGTCTGGCCTCAAATTCAGAGATTTACCTGCCTCTGCCCTCCAAGTGTGATTAAAGGCATGCACCGCCAGCCCTGGCCTTCCTCAGTCTTGATTACCTGGATTGTCCAGGTTTTCTCCATTATTGTCCCTGAACCCTGGGGATTTAGAACTCCAGAGCTAGACACAGGAAACCTTCCAGGCATCAGGGGCTGGGGTTGTGGCCCTGTGGGTAGAGTACTGGCCTAGCCTACCTCTTAAAGCCCTGGGTTTAACCCCCAGCAGCACATTCAGCAGGCTTGGCACACACCTGCACACCTGCACTTCTAGCTCCAAGGATCACTGGAAATTTAAGATCATCTTCAGAACAGTCTGCAGCCAGCCAAGGCTATACAAGGAGACCTTGTCTCAAACTAACTAACTAACTAACTAACTAACTAACTAACTAACTAACTAACTAACTAACTAACTAACTGGTTTTTGAAGAGTTTACTGCAGTCGGTCCTCTCCTGGGACTGTCAGCCAGCAGAACCAGGGCCTGCCTGACAATCACTTGATTCAGATTTTTAAGTTTTTGTTTGTTTTAGTTTTTAAGGCAAGATCTCAGTTCATAGTCTTGTCTGGCCTGCTGGCCTGACCTCACAGAGATCTACCTGCCTCTGGCTCTGGGTGCTGACAATTCTAGGGGTAAAAGAGAGAGGAAAGTGCCTGCTGGCTGAACGCTCACAAGCTTTCTCTGTGGGCTCCAGCTGATATTTCGGAAGTGGGTATATAGGGGTCATCAATGTCTTCTCCCCAAAACCATTGCACAATGCCTGATTGGATGTATAGCAGATCTTAAAGCTTTTTCTTAAAAAAAAACAGAAAAAAATATTTTAGGCTTGTGAGCCATATGGTCTCTGTCATAATGATAGACTTTGGTGACAATATGTAAATGAGTGAGCATGTTAAAAAAAAACCTGAGTATTGAAATTTGAATTTCATGGAAATTATATTTATATGTGTGTGTATTTTGAGACACGATCCTATATATTCCATGTTGGTCTCAAACTCATTGTCACTGAGGATGACCCTGAACTTTTGTGTGTGTGTGTGTACATGTGTGTTCCTCTGTGTGTCTATGAGTATATGTACATGTGTTTTCCTCTGTGTCTGTACATGTGTGTTCCTGTGTGTATCTGTATGTGTGTATGGAGGCCAGAGGTGAACCTCATTTGTTCCTCAGGATCTGTCCACCTTTTATTTTTGTTGCTTATTTTTTTATTTATTTTTTATATTTTATTTTTTATATTATAAAACTATATAATATATAATATATATAATATAATATATAATATATATAAATATATAATATAATATATACTATTATATTTTATTTTTTATATTTATTTATATATATAAATATATATATATATATATTGAGATTCTATTTATTTTTATATTGCAGGAGCTTTCAGGGCCCTTGGGGTTTAATAATAAAGCACAAAGGTATCTGTATAGTATAAGATTTTGGGCCTTTTTGCTGGGGCAGTCCCTCAGCTAGCTTCTAAATTTAATCCAACTTCCCTGCCGCTGTGTCCCCACCAGATGGCTCTCTCTTTACCTCCTGTCTCCGCTGCTTCTGTCTCCTGCCTGTCTTTCCAGCTCCAGCTGCCAGCCCTTTATTCTCCACACTCCTTATGCATCCAGCCTGAACCAATCAGCAGCAGGACAAGGCCCAGTCCATCTCTCTGTGTTGCCCTTTACCACAGCAGCTTTCTTTTTAATATGATAATCTTAGAGAATCATCTTTTGGACAGGTGAGGGAGGACAAATATTTACATATAGAAAGCAGGTAATGAGCCATGGAAATGACACCACCCAGCCAGAACTTGGCTCTGGCAGCACAGCAATTAACAATTGAAAATACAGAGGCAACCTGGTGCAATGGCACATGCCTGTAATCCTAGCACCCTGGGAGGCAGAGGCAGGCAGATTTCTATGAGTCCAAGGCCAGCCTGCTCTACAAAGCCCATCCAAGACAGCCAAGGCTACACAGAGAAACACTGTCTCAAAAAACCAACAAAAAACAAAACAAACAAAAAAAGAAGGAAAGGAAGAAAAAGAGAGAGAGAAAGGAAAAAGAAAATACAGGGGCACACTGATAATAGCCATTTGATACAGTATGTATCAAATGTAGGTCATCCCAACATTTTTATTTTGTATGAGTACTTTTCCTGAATGTATGTCAGTGTATCATGTACATGATGCCTGCAGAGTCCAAAAGAGGGCATCCGATCTCCTGGAACT